TCTGCGAGGTTGAACTCCAGGTACTGTCGCGAAGATGGCGGCGCCGCGTGTGGTAGACAGCGACCCTGGCCGCGCCGGCGGGGGGCCGAGATGAGTACGATGTCCAGCGCGGTTAGCACGGACCTGTAGTAGTGCCACGCTCTGCGCACCAGCGGGTGGGGAATGTTGGAGAAGCAATTCGTGATGTCGCTCCCGCATTTTCTCGCAGCCCCGCGGGGCGGGAGCATATTGAACTGCTCGATGAACGGGAGGATGAGATCAGTACGCTGGCAATCGATGTGGAGATGATCGGGAATGCATGCCGAGCTCACCCAGTCCAGGGCGCGTGCCGCAGGAGCCTCCAGAGGCTGGGTTGGCCACATGGAGCGATCCACTAGGGGGCGTCGGCCGTCAGGCTTCCCACGGTGTTTATTAGGTGCCGAAGCTGCGGCCATCCTCCAAGAGCTCGCGCGCGAGAGCATGGCAGGCTGTAGGTGGGGCCGGACGCCCACCACAACGGAAGCCTGCTGTAGCACCCAGCTGGCCGACAGACCTGGAAAGTACTCGAAACTGGGGTCAGACCCGTCTACGCCGAAGAGCCCGTGGCACAGGAGCTGGACGCGGCGCGGGCACTCGGCGACGAGGACGTGCCTCGATTTCTGGAACTCCTCCACCACGAGCCCACGGGTGAGCCGGCGGCCAATGGCGATGGCCCCGTGGTCGATTGGCTGGAAGTCCACCTGCTGCGGGATGCCACCGAAGTCGACGGTGTCGAGCGCCTCCTCCGTGAAGCGCGCGAGGGTGGCGTCCGAACAGTTTAGGCCCAGAGCTCGACAGGCCCGTCGAAGGACTCTATTGCACGATGTGAAGAACATAGCCCGCGAAGGTGCGGCACTCGTGTGCGCCGGGAGGAAGCGAAGCTGCTGAAGGTGCGCCGGCCATGCCCAAGTGTCCTGAGGCGCAAAGATGTGCGACGCACCATCTGGCGACGGGTACCGGGGCAAATCCGGGTGCAGGTGACACGCGCATGGCCATGCGTCCTTAGTGCCGAGCTGCCGGTAGTACCGCGGGGCGTTGCGCAGTGCAGAGCGCAACGTGAGGCAGCTGGATGGCGTGAGCATAATCCGGAAGTCGCGGATCGCTGGAATCATCGCCACCTGGCCGTGCTCCCTGGCGTAGCCGATGATGCGGTGTATGAGGTTCCGGAAAAGCGTCCGCGCACTTGCACCTGGAAGCCATGGCGCGGCACCTTGCACGCAGAGACGCGGCTTGGGCCAGCGCCGGAAGCGCCGGATGCGGTCCAGCGCGCGCAGGCCGATGGCCTTGGTGGCACCGCCCTGGCTGCGATGGATCCGGCGCCACACTGCGAACAGCTCTGTGGACGTGAGGCGATAGAGCTCAGAATGCCCCTGGTCGGCCTCGGCAGCCGGGAGCGTGTTGCATGCGAGCTGCGCCCACCTTGTGATGGAACACGAAAGGCACTGACCCGACTCGGACAGTGCGAGGCGGGCTTCGGCCGCACGGGGTCGCACGTCCTGCCCGTGGCGACGGCGCTGCGTGAAGCGGGCGGGCGCTGTTGGGGGGGCAGCAGAGATGCGGGTTCCCCGGGCACTCCATTGGACGGGTGCCGACGCGGGGCCGCACAGGGCCAGGAGGCGGTGCACGTGGGGCTCGTTGAGGCGCGGATGCTCAACGTCAATGAGATGCCGCTCCAAGGACGAAGCGGCGGCGTCGGAGGAAAAGCGGGCAATGGGGAGGTAGAGCCATGACGCGGCTGCTGATGGGGCGTCGCCGCCGGAGCAGTGCCGGAGGTATGCCATGTAGGGTTGCTGGGAGTCGTTTGAAGGGCGCAGGAAGGCGTAGAGGTGTTTGCGAAGGCGTTCCCTGTAGTAGATGGTCTTCCCGATGTAGAACAGGCGCCGCCAGGGACTCCACATTAAGTACACGACGAATGGGGCGTCCATGAGGGCTTCGGTGGGAGGCCAGGTGGCTCCCGGAAGCGTAGCCGCCAGCAGGCGGATGCGGGCGTAGAATTTGTGAGTGGTGGCCATGAGGAAGTGCCTGGCCAGGACAAAACCCAGGCGGTGGAGGACGAAGATGCAGTCCCAGGGGAGGGAGCCAGCGAACGAGTAGAGGTGTAGGAGGCAATCTTGGAGGAGCGCGAGGCCCGCGATGATGAGCTTGCGGTCGTGCGGGCTCCGGGAGACCCTGGGCATCCCGTCACAATGCACGTCCCACACGCCGCCGGACGCGCGCTCCCGCAGGCAGCGGGTGCGAAGTCAGGCCTCCACCTCATCCAGGCGAGCACGCACAGCGGCTGCCAGGTGGACGATGTCGGACAGCCTGGTCGCGTCGACATTGACGCCCAAGGCCTCGGAGATGCGCTTGAAGACGTCGCCGGCCTCCTTCGACTTGGCCTTGCCCTTGCCCGTGCCCTTGGCCTTAAGGGCCAGTATTTTGAAAGCTGCATGGTAGGATTCGAACTTCTTGCGAAGCGTTGCTGGGTCCTCCGCCGTGACGGCGCGGTCCTCGAGCGCCCAGTCGAGAGTGCGAGTGCCGCTGCGGTCGTGAAGCCTGTCGAACGAGTAGTTCTTGAGGTCCTCCAACGTGATCGGGAGAGGCTCCGCTGGGGCCTGGCCTGGCACGGCCGCCGCGCCGGCCGCCGCGGCCTGAGCTGGCGTTTGTACGCAGCCTTGCGCGCGTGCCCGGATAGTGGAGGCCGGGATTAGCTGCATCTCGGCAGAGGCCGGGCCAGATTCGAGGTGGGCCTGACCCTCGTCGGCGATGGATGCCGCGACCTTGCAGATCATCTCCGGCAGGGCGTCCCTCTTCATAGTGTAGGGGGAGTTGCGCGTAAGCCACGTGAGGAAGACGTTGAAGTTGAACGTGTCGCAATCAAAGGGCATGAGGGGCACGACCTTCTGGAGATTGCGACGCGCCTGGGCCCTCATGACATACGGGACGCATTCGCCGGGGTTGTCCGTGAGGGCCGACCGGGTCTTCGGAGTGCAAAGGCTCTTGCAGCGCCGCATCATCTCGACGTTGCACATGGCCCGGGCCTCCTTGAAGCGGGGGTCCTCGAAGCAGAGGTCAGGGGACAGGTGCGGCGGCACGCCGTATGCCGCCTTCTGAAGTCGGACCGCTGTGGCGTCGTCGCCGTGGACGAGCTGGAGCAGTTCCTCGTCCGAGAGTTTGCCCACAAGGTGCCGGAACTGGTCCGGTGTGGAGGCTAACAGGTCTGGGCCCGGGGCCTCGGGCACCCGTGGAGCTGCGAGCGGCGCGCCTTGCGGCAGTGGGAACATCGCGGCCGCGCCAGGGACGGACGCGAGCAAGGAACTGAGGAGCTCATGGACCGCGGTGTTGGTGGGGGAGCCCTGGTACGCTGGCGTCGGGGGGGTGGCAATGAGCGGCGGCTGCGGGGGGAGGACGTCGCGCTCCAGAACTGGGAGCTCCGGGGGACAGCGTGGGCGACGCTCCTGGGGGCTGCGCGCTGCGGAGCGCTGGCGACGGCGGGAGCGGGAGCGGTGGCGAGTAGCCCGACCATCAGGGGAGCGATGGCGGAGGCGCGGGCCACCGATGCGGTTCCCTGTAGGAGGACCCGAGCGCTGCGACGGAGGGGCCGCCGCGGCGGCGGCTGCACTGAAGAGGCGACGGGCGTCGCCGTGGCGGCGCTGCCGCAAGGATACGGGGATGTCGATCTGGTCGCAGTCGCCGCCCTCGTGGTCCTTGCTGCCGCAGAAGCTGCACGCCATGGGGTGCGGGTGTGCCGCGGGGGCACACGACAAAAAGGCACAGCAAGAAGAGGACGCCTCGAGCCTCGGAGCTGCAGTCACAACTCCTGACAGGGGCACCTGAAACGGGAAACGTGAAAGATGAGAGCGGGCCTGGCCGGGGAACCTGAAGCCGAAGCAAAGCGACAGAGGGGGACGATCCAAGGCGCCCCTGGACAGCTCTCGGCGAGGGCCGCTGCTCCGGACGCGTAGACTGGACGGCGGTTATACCCATCCTTAGAGGAAGGCGGGGGGGGGGGGGAAGGGGGAGGAGGAGGGGAGTAGGCCCAGCCACACACCTGCGCCCCAAGTGGCAGACGGAGGTGGCTGGGAGGGTTTTACATACCCGTCCTTGGAGAGCTCGGTTAAGGGGCGGGGAGCGGGAAGGACCTCATGAGTGACGCCGCGGCGGCACATGTGACACCGCGGCGGCACGGGTCGAACCGTCACCCTTGGTGTACTGGTGTACTGGGCTGGCAACTGACGCCACAGAGTATTAGATTACTGACATTGACAGGCACCGTCAGCCGGCAGGGGATACATCCCGTTCACGGCCCCACGGAGGAATGTGAGGAGTTGGTTTTCTGGTGTATTGGTGGACTGGTGCATGAAGGTGGAGGTACGTTTGGACCCCTCCCTGCAGCCGTCTTCGTTGGCCGAGGGGCTGCAGGGAGGTCCTCGGCCCCCTCCGGTGCCTATTGACGGCATAGTGTGGGAGAGGGCGGGCCCCAGGCAGCCCCTATGATGGCAGCTGCGAGGGGTGTGAGGCCTATGATGGTCCTCACTGGTGAAGCCTATGATGGTCAACACCGGGGGGGGGGGGGGCGAGAGGGCAAGATGTCGTTGGCGTCGACGGCGAAGGTGGTCCCGAAGAACGCGGATCCTGAAGTGGGAGATCCTGTAAGGGGAAAGCCTGAAAAGGAGGGGCCAGAAAGGGGGATGGGGCCAGGGGGCGGAGAGAGAAGAGAGGGGGGGAAGAGAGAGAGAGAGAGAGAGAGAGGCAGAGACGACGCAGGTTGAGGTCGAGGGCGAGGTTGAGGTCGAGGGCGAGGACGAGGACGAGGAGGAGGACGAGGAGGTGGTCAGGGGCCGGGGCGGGGGCCGAGGATTGAGTGGGAGGAGGAGTAGGAGGAGGAGGAGTAGGAGGAGGAGGAGGAGGAGGAGGCAGCACACCGCCCCAGGGTCCGGGGCACGTGCCCTTCGTGCCAAACGGTCCGGGCTCGACAAGACGGCATCGCATCCGCTGCCCCCATGCAGAGGGCCGGGCTGTGCCCCCCTGGAGGCCGAGGGCCCGGATCTATCGACGGAGGTTCGATCCGAGCGTCGCCGCGCCGATGGAGCGGGGACCACGGCGTGATCCGTGCGCTCTGGAGCGGATGGGGTAGGTCGGTTTAGGCTTGTGGGGGCCGCGAAGGAGAAGTTCTCGTGGGCAAACGGCGGCGGGGTGAAGGAGCGCCCCTATCGGTTCGGGGACTTGTTCATCAACAAGCTGACAGTGAAGGACGACTACGAGTTCGGAGATCTGTCCCGCTGGGTGGGTGGCAAGCTGCAAGAGGCGGCGTGCCAGATCACGGGCAAGGAAACGTACGAGTTCGGCGACCTCACTAAGTTCCTCGATAGCCGGGCGAAAGAGGAGGTCTGCAAGATGACTGGCAAGGACGAGTACCAGTTCGGCGACATCTCCCAGGAGATAGCCCGGCGGGTCCAGGCGGGCGAGGCTCGGGGCTCGAGAGACGGGGGTCGCTGCAAACGGGGGGGGGTCAGTCTGAGCGCCGGCTCTTGCAGGATCCTGCAGGGCCAGGGTCGCACTGGCCCGGGTCGTGGGCGCGGGATCTTGCAGGATATTTTTTGCAGGGTCCTGCCACGCCTGACTGACCCGGGTCTGGCCTGGCCCGGGTCGGTGGATCCCCGAGAGGTGAGCGGAGAGGACATGTGGCTGCTCCTGCGCGTGGTGCTGACGCTGGGCGCAGGCCTCACGCCGGTGGCCAACCTGCTGCCGGTCAGCTTCCTGCTCGGCCTGTACACGCAGGCCCTGGAGGCAGAGGTGGGCTCGCGCGCGGCGGGCGGCGTCGCCAGGGCAGTCGCGGAGGAGCTGGACCGCCGTGCCAAGGGCGCCATCCTCGGACCCTCGGGGGACGCCAAGCAGTGGGTCGGGCATGTCCCTCCACAGGAGGAAGGTTCAAGCACAGTCGACAAAATAGTACGGTGGCGATGTGTCGTGCTCTGTTGACTCGGTGCTGCTGTTGCTTGGCTAGTTTGTTCTTCCAAACTCCGCCTGTAGGAGGACATGTCCGACCTGAGCCGAGCATCCGGTTGCGTCGATCCTGGGCCTCGGATGTGCCTGGCCACGATCGGTGCAGGTGGATGGCAGGCGTCCCCATAGGAAAGGGCAACGAGGATTACGTGCTGGGCGACTGGACCAAGGCGACGCTGCAGAGCAAGGTTCTGGAGATCACCGGCAAGGACACCTATGAGTTCGGGGATCTCAGCAGAGCGTTGGCCAGACACGTCCGGGACATCTCCAACTCGTCCTCCCCTTCCGCCCCCCCTCCCTCCTAAGTCGCGCTTGCGGTCTCATTTGAACGAGCAGTGCCAAGTGGCTAGTGTAGATCGTGCGCATCTTGGCGTGCGCAAAGACTTCCCAGTGCGGTCGCAAGCGTCAGTCAAAAAGAGCGACTGCCAATGTTGCCATGTCCCTCAAGAGCAGCCCCTGGGTAAATGCACGGGGGCGTCTTTTTCCCCAAACGCTGCTTGCATGTGAGCGTCCTTATCCGTTGCCCTAGGTATTTCAGGAGGGGGAAAAAAGAACACAGACACAATTAACCGTCGATCCCCAGAAACATATCGGAAAATATGGGAAGCGGAGGGGGGACGACGAGAAGATGGGATGGGAAAGCCTGGGATCTGTGTCTGCTCGTTTGTGCGTCCCTGGGCCCCTCTGGTGTACTGGCTGGCGGCTCCAGGCCTTCACCCGATGGCCGCTCCCCCTCTTGGGCGCCTCGTCGTGCGCTGCACGGCGAGGCCCTCCGGGCCTTCGCCCGGCGACGCCTCCTATGGGTCGGGGACGGAAAAGAGGGGGGTGATGACTAGGGGGGGGTGGATATATCATGGCGGGGGCCATGATATTTCCCCAGATTTCATGGCGCCTCTTCTTATTTCATTACGTCCCTGGCCCTCCCGCTGGCCGCGCACATGCCGCCGGTCATGATTTGCACCCCCCCTCTTGGACACCCCCCTCTTGGCCGCTCCCGAGTGGGGGAACAAAAAGTGACAGAAACATAAAACCTCGGAGGCCCGCGCGGATTTTGCGGGTTTTGCGGGTCCGCGCTGGACCCCCCCGCCCTTGGCGCGCGGAGCGCGCCAGGGGCGGCGCCGGCGGCGCCGCCAGGGGGGGTCCAGCGCCGATCCGAGACATCCGCGCGGACCTCCGAGTTTTTATGTTAGTGTCAGTCTTTGTTCCCTTATCCTTTCGTCACTTCTTGGGCAGAACACTACGCAGTTTTGTTGGTTGTCACAAAAAACGCGTACCTAGCAGCGTTTTTTCCGTCCTCCCCGCCGCCGCGGGCACCGCGAATCGCCGCGCGGTCCGCGGGGGGGGGGGGGCGGGGGGGGCGGTTGGGCAAGAGGTTGGAAGAGGGGCGCGCTCAGGTCGTCGTGTACTTCGCGTTCTGGGCCACGGCCCCCTGCATGACTTTCTCCCCGCGGCGGGGGGAGGGCAAACATACCCCCGCGCACGACGCGCGGCGCAGGGGCGCGCAACGGCCAATCGCGAGGCCTGCGCGCTCCGCGCGCGCGTCGGCTTGCCGCGGTAGCGGCGTTCTCCTTTCCCCTCACCCTTCGCCGCTCCTGTGGTTGGGGCGGGTTGCGGGGTGTCGCTGCACCAGCGCGCTGTCGCGCGCCCGCCCCGCGGGCGCGGGCCTACTCAATGAGCAGCGCTCCCCGCGCTCTCCCCAGACCCCGCAGAGCTGTCTAGGGTAACGTTTTGCGCGGTTACTTGTTGTTCCCCGATCCCTTTGTCACTTGTTGTTATTTGTTGTTCCCCTATCCTTTTGTTTTTTTGTTCCCCCATTCTTATGTCACTTTTTGTTTTTTATGTTTGTGTCACCTTTTGCTCCCCTATCCCGTGGACGCCTCGCGCACTGGCCGGCGCCCCTCCGCAAACTCTCCGCCCAGGAGCCCCTGGAGGGCGCCTCGTGGGCGTTCTCCAGGGGCGCCTCGAGCACTGCCCGGCATTTCTCTGGACGTTCCGCGAGGAGTCGAAGGAGAAAAAACGCCATGAACATTATTCAAGAGGGGAAACAACGCACGGACATAATGAATCGTCGATTCCCCAGAACAGATGGGAAAATATGAGAAGGTGGGGGGGAAGACGCCAGCCATGAAAATATGGGAAATATAAGGAATCTTTTTATTTGTGCGCATTTATCTGCGTGTCCCAGGGCCCCTTCAACAATATTTTGGCGTTCCGCGCGGAGCGCCAAAAGTTTATCTTCATGGCGTTGTTTCTTCTTCTACGAGGGGCGCCCATTGGGCGCATCGCGGGCTCCCCGTGCGATGGCTGGCATTTCCGGGCCCTCGCCCAGTCGCCGCCCCGTGGGCGCTTCGTGGGTGCGCCGCGTGCGGGGTCGCGTGTCAGCATATGCGCGCAGCTTGTATTTCAGAGCTACGTTGCACGCGATGAGGCACTGTAGATGTACAGATGTAGACACAGGATTTAGCAGGTTCGCTTCGTTTCGCCGTTTAAATCTTGGTCGCGTGGCGCCCCAGAAGCGCGCTGCTGGCTCTTGGCGCATGGGCTCGCTGGGTGTGGAAGTCCCATCGTTGCGATGGGGTTGGCTGTTCCCGTGTGTAGTTTCTCTCGTTGGGGCTCGTAGCGTTCATGAGGTTTTTAATATGCGGGAGACGCCTCAAGTGGGTCGTCGGGCTCATAGGTTCACCGTGAGGGGTCGTGTGGCTCATAGGGATTATATGGCCGTGGGCACACTTGGCCCACAGGGCTCATGGAACTCATGGGTCACATCCCGAGGGTTTGTGTTGCTCATGGTGCTCATGTGGCTTTGGGTGCATGTCGTTCCTGGGGCTCATACGGCTCATGGAGCTCACGGGCCATTGGTTTCATATAGCTCATAAGATTCGTAGGGCTCATCGTTGGGGTTCGCGTGATTACTGGGGCTCATGGGGTTGTGGGCGCATGTGGTTCAGAGGGCTCCTGGGGTTCATGAGGCTATGGGCGCAGGCTCGTAGGGCTTGTAGGGCTCACGGGGTTCGCACTAGGGCTCGCGGGGGCCAAAGGGCTCGTAGGTCGAAGAGGCCTCGCAGGGCTCAGGGAGCTCGTAGGGCATCACTGGACTCGCAGGGTTTGTTGGGCTCATAGGGGTTCATGGGGCTCAAGGTCACGTAGGGCTCATTGGGCTCTTGGGGGCCAGAGCGCCCGTGGGGCTTGCAGGGGCTGTTAGAAGGCTTATGTGGCTGGAGGGTAGAAGCTTGTGTGGCTGGAGAGTTTGAATGCGTAGAGCTCACAGGTATCATAAGGCCCATGGGGGTCATAGGGCTTATCGGGCTCGCAGGTGCCACAGGGATCATGGGAGATCTCGTTGCTCATAGGGCTCATCAGGCTCGTAGGGCCCGTGCGGCTTACAGGGCTCCGAGAAGGTCATGCGGCTCATAGGTATCAGGGGGGTCGCGGGATCGTGAAGCTCATATGGCTCGTGGGGTCCTCGGCGCATATGGGTCATAGAGCTCATAGGGTCCGTAGGGCTTACAGGGCGGTGGGCGCATATGGTTCGTAGGGCACCCCGGGCTTTTATAGCTCATCGTGGGAAGTCTTACGGCTCATCGGGCTCATGGGGCTTCGGGCGCATATGGCTCGTAGGGCTCATGGGGCTCACGGGGCCTTGGGCGCATACGAATCATGGGGCCATGGGCGTTTATGGCTCATATGGCCCGTAGGGCTCATAGGGCTCATGTGGATTATAGGGCTCATAGGACTCGTAGGTGCCAGGGGGCTGATGGGAGCCCGCGGTGCTCAGAGGCTCCTACAGCTCAGCGGGCGCACGGGGCTTCCAGCGCGTATGGCCCATCGTGTCATACGGTTCGCAGGGCTCACATGGTTTGTTGGGCTCATGGGGCTCACAGGAATCGAGGGCTCGTAGGGCTCACGGGGGGGCAATAGTTTTTGTGGGGCTTTTAGGGCTCGTATGGCTCACGGAACTCGTAGGATTATAGGGCTCGCGGGGGTCATGGGGCTCGCGGGTGTAAGGGGCTTCGCAGGGCTCAGGGGGCTCGCTCGTAGGGCTCACAGGACTCGCAGGGCCCGAAGGACTTGTGGAGCTCACGCGGCTCACAGGGTTCGTAGGGTTCATAAGAGCGGCATGGTTCTTGTGGGGCTTGTAGGGCTCGTGGGGCATAGGGTTCGCGGGGGTCATAGGGATCGTAGGGCTAAGGGGCCTCGCAGGGATCAGGGGGCTCGTAAGGTATCGTAGGGCTCGCAGAGCTCATGGGGCTCGCAGGACTCGTGGGGATCATGGACACGTAGGGCTCATAGGGGGTCAGAACGCCCATGGGGCTTGCAGGGCTTGTTAGAGGGCTTGTGTGGCTGCAGGGTGTGTAGTGCGTAGGGCTCACAGGCATCAAATGGCTCATGGGGGTCATAGGGCTTAAAGCTTATCGGGCTCGCACGTGCCACAGGGATCATGGGAGATCGTGTTGCTCATAGGGCTCGTACGGCTCGTAGGGCCCGTGCTGCTCACAGGGCCCCGAGAAAGTCACGTGTCTCATAGGGCTCAGGGAAGTCGCGTGCCCGTGAAGCTCATAATATGGCTCGTGGGGTCTTCGGCGCATATGGGTCATAGAGCTCATAGGGCCCGTGGGGCGCACGGGGCGTTGGGCGCACACGGTTCGTAGGGCATCCCGGGTTTGTATGGTCATGGGGTGTCGGGCGCATATGGTTCGTGGGGCTCATGGGGGTCGTTGGGCCTTGGGCGCATACCGCGCACAGGGCTCAATGGCTCATAGGTTTCACAGGGATCATGGGGCCGTGGGCGTTTATGGCTCATATGGCCCCTAGGGCTCATAGTGCTCATGCGGGTTATAGGGCTTATAGGGCTCGTAGGCGTCAAGGGGCTGATGGGAGCTCGCAGTGCTCATGGGGCTCACACAGCTCAGAGGGCTCACGGGGCTTCCAGCGCATATGGTTCATATCGTCATGGGGCTCACAGGATTTGTTGGGCTCGTGGGGCTCACAGGGATCGTGCGGCTCATAGGGCTCACGGGGGCAATAGATCTTGTTGGGCTAGGAGGGTTCACATGGCTCATGGATCTCATAGGATCATAGGACTCGCAGGGGTCAGGTGGCTCGTAGGGCCCATAGGGCTCACAGGGCTTGTGGAGCTCACGCGGCTCACAGGGCTCGCAGGGCTCATAGGAAGGCAATGCTTCTTGTAGGGCTTGTAGTTTTCACGAGGCTCATAGGGCTCGCAGGGGTCATAGAGGGTTCGTAAAGCTAAGAGGCCTCGCAAGGCTCAGGGGGCTCGTAGGGCTCATGGGGCTCATGGGCATGCAAGGGCTCATAGGGGTCAGAGCGCTCGTAGAGCTCCGTTGGTCTTCTAAAGCAGAGCGAGGATAAGTCAACGAATCTCGCGTCCAGTCTGCGACGCCCTTACCCGAAGCCGCCACCGTCCATCCGCCCGCCGCCCCACCCTCGTTGTGGGTGCCTTGTTGGAGCCTCTCAGGGGCCTCTTGGGGCCTCGTGGAAGTCTCTTGGGTGCCTCTTGGGACCTCTTGGAGGCCTCATGGGCGCCTCTTGGGGCAGAAGACTGAAATGTTCGGTTCGTGTTACCCCTCTTGGTGCCCTCTTGGGCCGTCTTTGGCGCCTCCTGGGCCGTCTTGGGGCGGTCTTTGGGGGATTCTCGGGCCGTCTGGAAGAGGTCTTGGAAGCCTCTTGGGTTGTCCTGGAGCGCCTGGAAGTCGAAACGGCGAGCACCGCTAGAAGCATTGAAGCTCCAAGGGAGATCCATGATGCGTGCCTCGCGGGAAGGCTCTTTGGGCTTCTTGCAGGCGTTTTGGGCAGCTTTTAGTGACCATCGTGGTGGTGCGGCCTTTTGGGTGGCCCACCCAGTCGGGCGAAGAAGAGCTGGAGTGGCACCCAGAACCCAAACTTCGAATATCGGGCGATGTGAGCGCCCCAGGAGGGGAATTTGCGTGCGGGGAGAGGTCCGGGGGGGGGTCCGGTCTAAGGATATAGGGACTTGTGTTATCAAAGTAACTGGCTGAGTGTGTCAGGGGTTCGTCCAGTGGGTGCCCGTGGGCGCCACCACTACCACCATCATCAACATCAAAATAACCACCATCATCATCATCATCATCATCATCATCATCATCATCAGCAGCAGCAGCAGCAGCAGCAGCAGCAGCACTATCATCATCAGCATCAGTATCATCATCAACATCATCATCTGCATCATCTGCATCATCTGCACCATCTGCATCATCATCATCATCATCATCATCATCATCATCATCATCATCATCATCATCATCATCATCATCATCATCATCATCATCATCATCATCATCGGCAGCAGCATCATCAGCAGCATCAGCAGCATCATCATGATTGTCGCCGTCGCCGATGTTGTCGTCACCATGATCTCGCTCCACGAGCCATACATCTTCATGAGAAGACTCCTCGCAGCCTTGCGCCCGTTGAGCAAGAGCCCACCGTTGGGGGGGCCTCGCTGGCAAGCACGAGCGCTCGGGCGCATTTCCCCTGCACCCATTTTTTTCTCAAGGCGTCGCCGCGCGTTCGCGCCAGCGGCCGGCTGCGGGACCCCGATGCCAGGCTGCGCCTGGGACTTGCGCGTGCGCTCCCCGCGCCGCACCGCCTCGTCGCGTCGACCAGGGAGAAGACGACGCAGCTGAGGGTGGTGCTGCTGCGGCGGCGCAGTCACAGCAGTCAGCAATGGACGCCGCCCAGGCGCTGAAGCTGCTGGGCTTCGCCGAGGGCACCGTGAAGACCAAGGCCGACCTCGAGAAGCTCCGCGCCAGGAGCAAGGACCTCTTCAAGAAGTACATGGGCGAGAAGCGGGAGCACCACGCCAAGCGGGTGATGCAGGCGTTCGAGGTGCTCAAGACGAAGTACGGCAAGCTCCAAGAGGGCGGCCTGCAGCGGTCGAGCTCGATCCACTCCAACGGCAGCGGCAAGCAGGTCGAGGGCGCAGAGAAGCCGACCAAGCCTGCCCAGGCAGCTCAGGCCTCCAAAGCCGCCCGCGCCGCCGCCGAGAAGCCGCCCGGGGGAGCCCCCGAACGCCAGCGGTCGGAGAGGCAGCGGGCAGAGCGGCTGGGCAGTGCGGCCAAGAGCTTGTCCGTGTCCGGGTCCGCCTCGGTGCTGCCCGGCGCCGCCCTGACGCGGAAGCGCCCACACGCGGAGGCCGCGAGGGCCCCGGAGCAGCCGCTGTCGCGCAAGGCATCCAGCAGCCGGAGCCTCGGCAAGCTGGGCAGCAGCGGGAGCCACCAGAAGCGGGCCAGCAGCAAGAGCGTGGGCGGCAGCCTCCCCAAGAAGCCCGCCAAGCCACAGGCGCCCGCGGCCCCCGAGCGCGAGTCCTACCTGACCTGCTCGTGCGGCGAGAGCTACCGAGCGAAGCGCTTCCCACGGTCGATCCAGAAGATCTCCGGCTTCCTGTGTCCTGCCTGCCGCGTCCGGCAGATGGACCCTTTCAACAAGGTGCTGGACGCCAAGAGAGGCTTGCTGAAGCTGGTGATGGTGCAGAAGCCCTACGTGCCTGCAGAGGCCCGCCAGGAGGGGAGCTTCCGGCTGAAGTTCAACGTGCCGAGGCTCAGCGAGTGGCGCAAGCAGGGGCACAGCATTGAGGCGCGCATGTGTTGCCTCGACACCATCAGCGCCACGCAGGCCTGGTCTGAGGGCCTGGTCATCGAGATCAACGGGCGCAAGGCCGTGGACATCAAGCCGCCACAGGCGGGTCACAAGCGCAGGGACGTGCCCACGAACATCTCGGCGCAGCTGAGATCTGGCAACAACGTGATGAAGGTCACACTCAGAGACGACTACGTGCAGAGGTTTGCAATCGCGTTCGTCCGGACGATGCCACATCCACCCAAGGAGATGTGCAAGCGCGTCCCCGTTTTGAAGGTTGACGACTGCAAGCAGAAGGTGGTGGACCTCCTTTTTTCGTCTATGCTGGAAGGGAAGAGCAATGAGGTTGAGTGTGACGAGGGCTCCAACATTAGCCGCCTTGTGTGCCCCATCACAATGGGCCGCATCGCCACGCCGGTGCGGGGAACTAAGTGCCGTCACTTGCAATGTTTCGACCTGGAGGCCTATCTCGTCTCCAACCTGCGAATGGCTGCTTTCAACAATCGGTGGCACTGCCCCGTCTGCAGCCTGCTGGTCATGCCTCCCAAAGACCTTTTCATCGACACCTACTTGCTCGAGATCCTCGGGAAGGCCGGAGAGGATGCCGAAGAGGTGAGCTTCGACGCGATGGGCGACTGGACTGTCAGTGGCACCGCGGCGCCCGACGTGGACTCCGAGGACGACGACGGTGCTCCTCCTCTGTCGGCCTTTGTGCCAGTGCCCACCGTGGAGCAGGCGGAGGAGGCCGTGCCAGTTGACGAGGTGGACGTGGTGGCCCGCCCCTCGCCTTCTCCCGTGGGCGCCTCGCCCCAGTCGCCCACCGACGCCGGGCTCGCCTCCGGGCCGCTCGCCCTCGGGAGGTCGGACACCGCGGAGAGCTTCGCCGCGGGCGGGTCTCGGGGAGCCCGAAGACCGAGCATTTTCTTCGGGTGGAGGGCTCAGGGTGAGATCAATTTGGGCTTTCGCACCTCGAAAGTCAATCCGTCTTGTGATTCACCTTCTGCAGATTCGAGCCTCGAAAATCCATCGAAACGGCATTTCAGATTTCACCTTTCGCCCTCCACCCAAAGAAAATGGTCGGGAAGACACCGATGCCGCTACTCCCCAGACCTCTTCCCGCGGCGCGCTGTGGCCAGAGTCCCGAGGCGAATGCGGCGGTGGCGACGAGGGCCTCCCGGGAGGCCCCCGAAGAGGCGGGAGTGCGGCAGGGGCAGCGGTGTCGGGCCTTTTCCTATCCGCAGGACGGCCGAGGCGCTGGACGACGGGGTGTCTTCGGACGGGGGCGAGCGCCTGAAGGGCCAGGACGGCTCCGACTGCGAGGACTCCGACCTGCTGTCGGACGACGAGGAGGGCAAGGACGCCTGCGGCCCGCCCCAGGCCTCAGCGGAGGGCGGTACGGCAGCGGGCGAGGCAGCCACGGCGCGCGAGGACGAGGGCGAGGCCACCCCGAGATCTGGGCGCTGCAGCTTCGATGCTCTTGCACAGCCGTGTTCTAGAGCTCGGGGCCCTTTGTATGTTCGCCGTCGTTCGTTCGTTTGCTCGTCGCCCCCGGCCTGGGCCACCCGACCTCTGTGTCCTCATGATGGTCGTGATTGCCCCGAGAGAACACCAGGATAGCCCACGGAACAATCCTCCACCTCCTCCTCCTCCTCCTCCTCCTCCTCCTCCTCCTCCTCCTCCTCCTCCTCTCCTCCTACTCCTTCTCCTCATCCTCCTCCTCCTCCTCCTCCTCCTCCTCCTTCTCCTCCTCCTCCTCCTCCTCCTCCTCCTCCTCCTCCTCCTCCTCCTCCTCCTCCCTAGGCTGCCATTTGGGCTCCCACGCGCGCGGGGGCGGGCGGCGGGGGCGCATCCATCTGGCCCCAGCCTGCAGCCCGACGGCGAGCGCAGGCGCAGCTGTGGCGGCGAGCGGCATTCGCGGGCGCGCTCCGTCGCCAGCCTGGCATCGCCGCCTGCGGAGGCGCCGCGCCAGCGCGCGGCAGACGCTGCGCGAGGCCGCGGCCAGGCGGCTCCTGCAGGCGCACCACGGCAGCGCCCCGCCTGAAGAGCCGCAGTACATGCAGAAACATGGGGAGCCCTGGCCGTGCAAAGCGACCAAGGCCTGCGGCTTCCGCAACAATTTCACCAGCAGGACAACGTGCTGGGCGTGTGGCAGGGACAGGGACGGCAGACCTACGACCGCCCCCCAGCGAGCGCCCAGCCGCAGCAGGAGGCCTACTTCGCGCGGCGCCGAGGCGCCCTGGCGCGATCGTGCTGATCCTGCTCCTGCCGCTCCTCAGGCTGCTGGAGACGCAGCGGCACAGCAGTCCCCAGCAGTCAAGTCCAAGCGTGCGTGGTTGGCCTTACGTCGGATCTACGGTGACGAGCACGACCTGGTCATCGCCGCCAAGGCTGCCCACGACAAGGAGGAGTCCGCCCTACGTGCTCAGATGGACCCCATCCGACCTGCTCAAGAGCGCCAAAGACAGGTGGGCTGCCAAGGAGTCCGAGCGCGCGGCCAAGGCCGCTCAGGTCGAGCAGATGTCCAAGGAGCTCGCCGACGCTCAGCAGCAGCTCACCAGGCTCGAGGCCGAGACGGTCAGCCTCAGTGCGGAGGTCGCCCACGCCCAGTCTGCAGTGGCGGCCGTGGTCGCTGACGGGACCCCCGCGATGGCTAACGTCTCTGTGGCCATCCAGCAGCTTCAGGCTGTCCTGGTCCCGGCTCGCGCAGGCAAGTCGAACATGGACGGCGCCCAGCTCCTCAGCACCATCGAGCAGCAGGTCTCCAACATCGGCTTCCTGGCGACAGGAGCTTCGCCACCGAGGGCATCAGCTCCGCCGCCTCTGCAGTCTGCCGCTTTTCGCCCCCCAGTTCCAGCGTCACCTGCAGGACCTGGCACCCAGATGGCCGTCGAAGCTGCAGCATGGGAGAATGCGGGCGACGACAGCTAGGAGGGCCCCACGAGGCTCCAGGCGCAAAGATATTGCAGTTGCTACCTTCAACGGTTCTTGTTGGGATACTTGCAAGACCTTTTTGGCAGAAGGTACGACAGGGGTCAATATTGTGTGCGCTCAGGAGTTGAGACTCGATGGGGAGCGTCTGGCGCAGGCGCAGACTTGGGCTCGACGCAGCGGCTGGCAGGCCTTCGCCACGCCCTGCCGCAGATTACCTACAGGCCTGCCCAGTGCAGGCGCAGGGGTCTTTGTGCGCTCTCACTTACCAGCCACCGTCGTCGAGGGACCCGATGGCAAAGCAACCCATGACATAACACCAGCATGGGCAGTGGTCATACACGTTGATGTGGGACTTACTGGAGGGTTGCTGGTGGGATCTGTCTACATGGAGTATGCGCACACGACCGCCTACCTCACAGCCAACTACGATCGCTACTTAAACTTGGCTCAGTTTCTCAGATACATGAACAAGCCCTTCATCATCGCGGGGGACTGGAACATCAACCCCCAGGACTACCAGCAGATGGGCTTGCCTGAAGTACTTCCTGCCGCTCTACTCTACACCAAAGAGGAGGGCACTTGCCGCGCCCCGAAGGGCGACTACCACAACATCGACTACTTCATCACGTCCCCTGGCCTCGAGACGGCACGCAGATCGCCAACCACGATGGCGACGTGGCCAGCACGGCCTCACAAGCCAGTCATCACCTACATCAAGGCCAAGCCGCAGGCCATGCAGATTCTCAGCGTCAGAGCCCCGAGGGCTCTGCCCAAAGGGCCTCCTGCCACGGAGGGATGCCATCCTCTACGTGGGACGATCCCCACGCCAGACTACCTGGACATTGTCGACAAGGATGCGCAGCGAGGCCCCCCAGCTTCCAAAGAGGAGGCGATCGGCCGCATGGATGCCTTATACGGACAGTTCATTTCGCACGTCGAGAGCGAGCTCATCGGCATCTACCAGGTGGACGATCCAGATTCTTACCGGGGTCGCGCAGATGGGGCCCAATACACCTGGCGCCCGATCGGAGGTCCCAAGACTGGTCCGCACCCAGCTGGAGGCAGTGAGCCACGATTTCTCCGCGCGGTGGGTCAGGCGGTTCTGGACCTGGTAGTTGACTTCATCGTTGACTTCGGCGTCACCTCGCTGCAGCAGCTGGCGGATGCCCACTCCTGCCCTACCACTACGGGGCAAACCAATGCAGATGACGGTCTACATCAAGACCCTCAGCCCTCACCTTCTTCCCTGACGACGGCCGAGGCGCGCTCGGCCCCACAGGTGGATCTGGGCGTTTGGAAGCGCCTGGCCGTCCCTGGCGCTATGGGAAGACCGCCTCCCCCTGACGACCAGGATCAAGACGACTCCGAGGATGAGTTCAGGGAGGCAGTTGCAGCTGGTGCTACCCGATGGGTACCTGACCTGTCGGACGCTGAATCGGGGGGACGCTCATGGCGAGGATGGTGCGCCCCCTTCGTGATGGAGTGTTTGCGCCTACCTCAACATACTGCGTGGGTAGCAGCCGCCCTCGCGGATGGCAATTTCAACTCTCTACACGAGCTCGCCGATGACATCTGCAGCGACGCTTGGGGCCGCTCCTCCGAGAACCGAGCTGCCATCATCTCCTACTTGGACTGGTTGGCCATACACGACATACCACTCGGGCGACGCGTGATCAGCCAACACTGGGACGAGCTCGAGGAGATCAGGAGCGAGATGAGAAGAATCCCGGGCGACAGGCCGATGCCCGACCTCCTGCTCTACTACGACGACCAGCAGAGCGCCTATGAGGGGGAGTCTCTTTCTCATAGGACTCAGGCTTTGCCATCCTCTGATGTCGCCACGCCCTTTGCCAGGAGAGTGCGCCAGAAGGTCTCCCAGGATCCCGGGCCGTCTCAAACGCCTGGTCCTGGCCTGGCCGCGACGCCACCTAAAGGTCTGACAGGTGGCGTCGAGCTCTCGGGTTCCAGGGGCTCCCAGGAGCCGATCAGAGGACAGAATAATTTGGCGAAGAACGCGTGCAACATATCGGCCTGCACTGTCTCATCACCACGGCGCCGAGCACGATGGACCCATCTCGCCAGACTACTTCGCCCAGGACATCGGCAGGACGTCCACACCGCCGAGGGCAAACAGTACTTCGACGGCGCCTGGGACATCATCCACCTTGCCTGCAAGCTGCCCCCCCCTGCAGTGTCTCTTGTGCCTCCAGGCCTTCGCCAACATCATCATGCAGCACGTCGACCAGCTCGACAGGCAAGAAGGTTGGCATAGAGTACGCAAGTTCAAGTCCTGGGCACGGGATGCGATGGTCACTGGCCCCGCGCAGGTTTACTCGATCACCAGAGTGCAGCCGTGGGCCCATGCGCAGATCAAGCAAGGGAAGACCACGACGTCGCACCCGCAGGCGATCGCAGACAGTCAGATGGACAGCTGGAGAAAGATTTGGGAGGGAGAGCGCCGTGATGATGCAGACCTTCCGCGACCGCTCGCTGATCATGAAGATATAGACCTCGTGGCAGCGATTCGCCATCTTCCTCCTGCTGCCCTGCCCATACCGACGATCGCACAGACGAGGAGGGCAGCAACAACATTCAGGTGGCGCACTGGACTTGGAGCTGATGCACTTCCACCTCGTGCCATCTCCCTGGTATCGGACGCAGCCTTAGCCATGCTGATCTACATATACTGGGCTGCAGAAGCTTGGATGCGCTGGCCGACGGTCATGCTCAACGTCCACATCATGCTCCTTGCCAAGCCACAAGGAGGGTTTCGCCCAATTGCCCTACTACCAGCGACGTATCGCATCTACACGAAGCTCAGACTGGCTCAAGGTCGGGATTTGGATCTCACAGAACACCAGACCTTATTTCGCGTTGGGCACCCACAAATGTACACTCGATGTGGGTGCGCGCACCATGATTTATGCTGAGGCCTACGCTCGTGACAAGCAAAGGGCCACCACCACGACGCTTGTGGACATCAGCAAGTGCTTCGACCGAGTTTGTTGGCGTCGAGTGCTGCAGGCGGCTGAACACTACGGATTCCCAACACAGATCCTGCAACTGTGTTTGGCGATGTACTACGCCCCGCGACGAATTAAGTGGACCACCTCCTTCTCCTACTCGTGCCAAGTCAGTAGGGGAGTGCTCCCAGGATGCTCGATAGCCATGTACCTGCTGCAGCTGGTCATGATGCTGCCTTTCGACGTATTCGAGAAATCCTTTGCCAACACCGACGAGGTACACCACTCGCTGGACATCTACGCCGATGACATCACGATCCAGGTGGTGGCCACGTTGCAGGACATTGTCTACCAGACGGTGCGCATCCTGCACAGGCTGGCAGCAGTTCTCAAGGCTCTTGATCTTCCTATTGTTCAGGACAAGGCGAAAGTGCTGGCCTCAGACTTTGCTATTGCACAGCAGGTTACGCAGCAGGTCCATCGGCACGGTTTTCGACCTTACAGAACTCTGGAGGTGCGGGGCATGGAGGCTAAAGGCGGACACAGACTGAGCTTCGAAACGATTCGCAAGAGGGTGCGCAAGATGAAGAAGAGACTCCCCCGTTTCAAGAGACTCAGTGGTCTGGCCAAAATTGGCCGAGAGGTGGCACAGCCATGCATTGCCCCCGCCATGCAGTACGGCATCCAGATCGTCGGCGCCACCAAGACGCTGATCAAGTCGATGGTCAGCATGGTTCGAGTGGGTTGGCGGCGCACTCCTCCAGGCACCTCAGTCTGGTTGGCGGCTCAGCTTGAGCCGCGTTTCTTCGAACACCCTGAGATGATGGCGATCGTGGGCCCCCTCTACACGTGGGCCATGCTCGTCCAAGACATCAAGGTGCCCAACTACGTGCTGGAGAAGGCTTTCCTGCAGCAGCGCCAGATCTTAGGATCTACCCCGAAGCATGCTGACGTGGCAGGTCCTGCAGGAGCCGTATTGGTGGCACTTCATACTCTCAACTGGCGGGCGACGGCGGCGACGGCATGGACTACATGCGCAGGTACAGCCTTGGACCTCACTGCTGACAGCCCTGAGTGGCTCAGAGTTCTCGCAAGACGGGACTTTGTCAACGTGAAGTTTGAAGATTGGAGTCGCCAGCACGATCATGCGCCAGAGGACGAACCACCACTCAGGAGACCTTGTGGCTATTGGATGGGCCCTCTCAAGATGCTGCTGGCGCCGAAGGAGCTGGCCAAGAAATGGCACTTATCGGAGCAGGCTCGAGCAGCATTACGCAACTCGATCATAGGTGGCCAGTGGTCCCAGGCTCGGCTACACAAACATGGATATGCTGTAGATAACTTGTGTCAGTATTGCTTGGGCTGCCCTGGAACTGCACATCATCGTCTATGGTCCTGCCCTTTGCTCCAGCAAGAACGAGAGGCCGCAGTTGACGCTGACATCATCCAGGCAGCTCGGGCCTCACCTCACAACGACCTCTTGTTCACCAGAGGCCTGATGCCGAGGGACGCCCTGCCTGGGATTCCGCCACCAGCCATGGATGATGCCTGGAGATTCGCCCATGGAGGTGACATGACCATGCTGGCGGGAGATATCTACACGGATGGATCAGGGCTTTCCCCCATTGCCTGGCCCGAAGCCAACAGAGCTGGCTGGGGAATCGCGATGATGACAGGTGAGGCTCTACGTGGGATTGCGTACGGACCTCTCCCAGGACATCAGCAATCAGTTCCGCGTGCTGAACTATACGCTGTCATTCAAGTTCTACGCCATGGGATGCTGCCGATGCACATTCGGACGGACTGCCTGGGCACCGTGGAAGGACTCACATGTGGGCCCGAGTGGTGCACGCACCCACGCAGGCCGAATTGTGATTTGTGGAGGATACTATGGCAGGCCATCCAAGACCATGGAGGTTTGTCCTCGCAGCTGGAGATCTCATATGTTCGATCGCACCAGATACAAGGCGAGGCCACAGTCGACAAGAAGGGCAATGATTATGCAGATGTGGCAGCAAAGAGGGGGCTGGCTATGCACGCGTTGCCGTCGGAAGCCATTCAGCTCCACTCGAACATGATCAACATTGTCAGACAGGTTGCGTGCTGGATCGGGTCCTCTATGACGTTGGTTGGGAACCAGGACCGACAGCCACCGCCTGCACGCAAATCACGTCGACGACTTCAGCGACGCCGTCGGCCTGGACACCAGCGGCCAGTGCTGACTATGAGCCAGCGCCTGCACGACATCAGGCCCGCGCTGGCTGGAGGATGGAAATGCAAACACTGTCAGCGCTTCGCGCGGACGGCATCTGGACGTAAGCGCCTGGCCCTTGAGGTGTGCACAGTGCACCGCCCCTCGGAACCTCAGGCCCCCGAGCCCCAGTCCAGCCCTGACGAGGTCCCGCGGAGCCCCTCCCTTGGCCCCCGTCAGGCCCCCAAGAGGCCTCTGGGCGGCCAAGACGGCCGAGGAGGCGGTCAAGACGAGGACGGCCCTGGGAGGAAGGCGCAGCGCGGTGATCCTCCCTCCTCCCCTACTTCGTCCTCTGGCCCTCCTCCTCCTCCTCCTCCTCCTCCCCACCCGACCTCGCGGGTTAGGATTGTGGGTAAGTCTAGGAGGCCTGAGGTCGAGGAGGCTGAGGCTTTCATCCGAGCCCCCCGTAGGGTCAAGCCGAGAGTGCAGTTTGAGCCGCTTGCCCAGACTCGTGTTAGGGAAGCCACGGTCGCCCTTGGTCCCCCGATTGGCTCGGAGAAGCGCCCTAGGATTGCGGCGGCCACTACGAGGGCCAACGCCGCCCCTCCCAGCACGGTGCTCCCTGCGGAGGGGACGGTTCCCCCTCAGGCCTCTCGAGGCCATGTGCTCTACCGCGCGGGCGACGTGGTTGGATGCATGCGTTGCGGATCCTTTTCGGAGCGTGCTCACCGATCCCAGCTTTATAATGATTGTGAGGGCCCCAAGGCCTTTGAGGGCAACCCTCAGAGGAAATGGAGGCGGAACAATTTCGCTGAGGGGCGGCGCCCCAGCGAGGGCCGCAAGCACCCCATCCCCCTCCCTCGGCGCATGTTGGTCACGGACCCCGCTGTGGAGTGGCTTGGGCTTGCCTCGTGAATTCGGTTCAATTCGTTTTGTTCTTAATGTTTCTGTGCGGGGTCTGGTGATTTGATCGGCCCCGTGCCCAGGCCAGCTTCCTGGCCTCTCTCTGCTGCACAGGCCCGTCGTTGGGCGTGTGCGAGGGGACATGGTTGGGCCTGCCCTTTCGTGTTCCCCACTCTGTCTGTGAGAGATTGTGCTTTCTCACCTTTTCCCAATCGTCTGCTCTCTGCCCCGATCCCGACTCGGCGCGTCCCCTCATGCGCTCGCTACGCCTCCTCCCGCCTCCCCCTCCTCCTCCTCCTCCTCCTCCTCCTCCTCCTCCTCCTCCTCCTCCATCCTCCTCTCCTCCTCCCCTCCCCCTCCTCCTCTCCTCCCTCCCTCCTCCTCCTACCTCCTCCTCCTCCTCCTCCTCCTCCTCCTCCTCCTCCTCCTCCTCCTCCCTCCTCCCTCCTCCTCCTCCTCCTCCTCCTCATCCGCCTCCTCCTTCCTCCTCCTCCCCTCCTCCTCCGCCGCCTCCTCCTCTTCCTCCTCCTACCTCCTCCTACCTCCTCCTCCTCCTCCTCCTCCTCCTCCTCCTCCTCCTACTCCTCCTCCTCCTCTCCTCCTCCTCCTCCTCCTCCTCCTCCTCCTCCTCCTCCTCCTCCCTCTCCCCCCTGCTCACCCCGCTTCGCCTGGCCTTAGCCCTCCCTCGTGCAAGAGCCAGGGCGTGCGCGCCATGTGTTCACGCCCGGCGGCTTCACCCGGCTTCGGGCCCCAGGACCAACCGCAGATCGATCTGGCTCGAAAGGTGCAGCAGAAAGACCGGGTCAAGGGCTCCAGGTGTGATCGGCCGCGGGGCTGCCATGTGCTCGCGGCGTCGGATCTCGGGGACCACGGAGGCCCCCGCCGCCGCGCCCACGGGGTCGCCCACGGACGAGCTGCAGGGGACGGCGTCGCCAGAAATGCCCTGGGCCCGGCCACGCTTCACCAAGAGCCCGATGCCCTTTTCGGACGCCGGCAGCGACGCCGGGAGCGCCCTGGAGAGCGACAGCGAGGTGGACCTCGTCAGCGACGGCGGCGCTGCGGGCAGAGACGAGCCAGGGACGGCCGGCGAGGCCGCGGGCTCCGGGGAGGTGGAGGAGGCTGCTGCTGCGGCGGAGGGAGGGCCTGGCGCGGCCGCGGCCGCGCCCTGCGACGCCCAGCCCGCGGCGAGGGACGAAGGGCGCCGCGGCGAGGCATCCGACCCGGCGGCGCCGAACGACGACACAGTCACAGCCACAGTCAAGCTGGTGAAGTTCATGGTGGACAACACCCAGCTAAAAGCAAAGTCTCCTGGCCTCGGCTATCGCTTGAGCAAGGACCCCAAGGACATGGCCCCCGGGAAGCCTTACGTGAAGTGGGGCGAGATTGTCGAAGGTGAGCTCGACGGACACTGGCTGAAGGTTGGGGAGATGTATTTGCCCCTCAGCTCGAGTGGCGCGAAGGTGCTCAGTCTGGTTGAGACGCACGGAGCCGGCAGCCCCGCGGCTGTGCCCGATCCGTATCTCGACCTCACAGCGCATTTAGATGCAACTGATGTGGCTGCAGCCGCTGCCAAGGCGGCACAGCAGGCAGTCAGCTGTGGAGCCGCCGAGCAGGCCGCAGTACTCCCCAAGGCAGCGGCGCCGCCGAAAACGCCAGCCTCGGAGGGAGTCAGCGGTGGAGCCTCTAAGCAGGCCGCAGTGCAACCAAAGGCAGCGGCGCCGCCGAAAGCGCCAGTCTCGGAGGGAGTCAGCGGTGGAGCCTCCAAGCAGGCCGCAGTGCAACCCAAGGCAGCGGCGCCGCCGAAAGCGCCAGTCTCGGAGGGAGCCATAGCGCTTCCAGAGAAGCTGAAGGCTCTCGACGCCGACCGGGCGCTCCTGCTCAAGATGCAAGAGGCGAGAAAAGGTGCTCAAGGAGAGTCCGCCCTCAAGCGGGCGAAGTCCGGAGATTCGGCTGCTGCAAAACCGGCAGAGGCCAGATCCCCCACAGCGGCTGCTGGCGCGCCAAGGCCTGCCGCCGCCGCCGCATTTGCGGCAGCTGCTGCAGCAGGCGCTGCAGCCCGTGCAGCTGCAGCGGCAGCCGTGGCGGCGGCAGCTGCGGTGGTCACGGCCAGCCCGGCCCCACCACCGCCAGAGGCCGCAGAGACCACTGCGCCTGCCGTCCCGCCGTTGGCGCGGAAGCGATCGAGGCTCCTGGCGTGCGTCGACGAGGAGGAGGACGACATCTGAGAGGGCCTCCGGCGGAGAAGTGGGCTCCAGGTCGGTCGCAGCGTGCGTGTGCACGTGCACCCTACGCCTCCCAGATGGGCTCAGAGCAGACAGGGTCGGAGGATCGCGCCGCATCACCAGTGCAGCCGTGTCGCGTCGACGGTGCGGCGCGATCCTCAGGCCGAACCTGCTCCGACCCCATCTGGCAGGCAGCTATGCACGCTGCGGTGCCTGGAGACGTGTCGCAAACGATTGCAGGATCCCGGCGCCGCTATGAGAGGGCCGCCGCGCCCCAGGCCACCCCTGGCGCCGGGCAGCACACCGTGCTTATCAGTCGTGGGGGCCGGGCTCTGAGAAAGAATGCCAAGCGGCACCTTCGGCCGCGCAGCTCTCACGGGGCGCTCCCGAGGGGGCCACTCGCCTCCGAGGAGGGATCGTCTGGGTTGGCGCCGCTTGGTCGGCGGACAGCGAGGGCGACCCCACCAGCGCGGGAGGCGGCGGTAAGTTGGCGGAGGTAAAAATTGTCCCCTGGCAGATGGCATGTCTCGAGGATGCGGGATGTCCAGGGCGGGCCATAGCGTATAAGCACGCACACGACGAGTTCAGGTCGTTGGAGTTTGCGTCGTGGGTGCTGTCCCTGCCCTCGTCGTGATGTGTTTTCGGTGCCTCTCCTGTGTACTCCACTCCTCCCTCGTGTACCGTCACGTACCTGACGAAATTGCAGTTCTCCGCCGTGAGGTGTGTTCTCTTCGAAGCTCGATACCAGCGCGACAGTCGACTTCATGCGTGCACGCGTCGCCGTAGGATGCCAAGGCGCCAACCCGACTGCCCTGGGCACAGCGTGAAGCTTCGTATCATGCTGCCCTTGGTCTCCTGAACTTCATGCGCACCTTGATCCGAGGACGTCTCGCATTCGCTTCGTGACCAGACTATCGGCCTCCATGCCCAGACGTTCGCCGCCTTGGTGGGATAGGGGCGCCAGTGTATCGCAGCAGGGGCAAATGTTACAGCGGAGGCGTACGGCAGGTTCGTGTCGTGTCGACGCGGCCGCGACCTCAGCGCGGACGTTCGAGGCTGAACGTCGTCAGAGGCCCAGAATCCGTCGATATCGAACGATCTTGCGAGATCGGGAAGCCGTTATTCGGGTTGACCCAAAAGGGGGTCCAGCGACAGGGCGGGGGGTGCAATACATTTCGTGCAACAGGTTCGTGAGTTTGCAGTGCATTTGGGGCGTGCAGTACAATCCGGGGCGCACATGTATCGCTGTGCTTCCGCGTGCAACGCATTACTCGCAATACACTGCAACGCAAGTCTCCAGCGTATCATACGTTTGCCATACACTTGCCACACATCTATTGCACCACCCCCTTTTCACTTGGACACCCCTTTGGCCCACCCGAAGTTATCGTGAAAGGTTGAATGATCCACGCGGTGTCAGCAGCCATCGCGCAGATCGCCGTCGCCGCCGCCGCCGTCAAGCATCGATCGTCGCTTCGTCGCCCATGGCCCTGCCCCCCAGGCGCTCGCAGGCCTCGCGGCGGCGCACCTGGCGCTCCGCGAGCCAGAGGAGCGCCGGCCTTCCCCGCAGGCTGCCAGAGGCTCGAGGCTCGAGGGTCGAGTGCTTCTTGTTCGACTTGCACCCTTCAGACGTTCACCATCTGAGAGGGCATCTCTCACTCCTCTTCCCTCCGTGACCCATCCGCCGGCCCCCTTGTGGGGCCACCAGGCTGTAGGCCGGAGGTTCGCAGCTTCCTGTGCCAGTTTCCGCTGTTACAGTTCTGCTTATTGCTGCTTACCGTTCCTTTTTACAGTTCTGCTCCTTGCTGATTGCTGTTCCTTGTTGATGGACCGCGCGAGGGGGGGAGGCCCAAAACTAGCATTGTCACCACGCCCAAATCATATTGTCTGAAATGCTGGGGTGGGTAAAAATTGACACCCCTCACGCAGATCGGCGGGGTCAGGGTCCAAAAACACTAGAATTTGCCACATTTTTGAAACTCGGTGGCACCCCTCACGCAGATCGGCGGGGTCAGGGTCCAAAACACATAGGGGATTTGCAACATTTCTGAAACTCGGTGGCACCCCTCACGCAGATCGGCGGGGTCAGGGTCTAAAAACACAGGAATTTGCCACATGTTTGAAATTCGGCGGCACCCCTCTCGCAGATCCGCAGGGTCAGGGTCCAAAAACACAGGGGATTTGCCACATTTCTGAAATTCGGCGGCACCCCTCACGCAGATCCGTAGGGTCAGGGTCGACAAACAAACAGGTCCCGACACTGCTTCACGGCGAAGCCAAAGCCTCATGACTTCGCTCTTCCATGGCCCAGTCTCCGAGAGAGGGGGCCAGCGGCAGGGGGCGAAGCCCTTACGGATTATCCACCTGCGCAGTCTGCTACATACCGCGCAGCCCGCCGTAGCTTCGACCGCGACGCGCCTCTTCTCGACCTCGACCGCAATCTGCCGCCTTTGGGGAGATTCCCGGAGCCCTCTCGGACCCTCTCTTGGCTCCCCTCGGATGGGCAATTGGGCTCGAAGGCTAAATCTCGATGATCCTCCGAACGTGTGTAACTGCCCAATGTGTGTTCTCCTCCCTCAGCTCCGCCGATAACTCTCAGCTCTTGGTCATCATTGCGCAGAAGCAAGTGTTGCGGGGCCTCGTCGGGGCCCCGCAGGGGTCGTCTTTCGGATGCGGCTCGCCTCTTGCCCTCATTCAAACAATGACCCTCAGCTCCCCCTCCCGTCCTTATCCTGTTCTTTCCTCCGTCTCCTTAATCCCCTCCCTCCTCTTCCACGTTCTTGCCCCCCACCCTTCTCCGCTGGCAGCTGGTGCACATGATCGACGCAACTTTCCGTTACTTACGTACCTCTTTCCGTCAGGAAGGGTGGTTGTTGACGTATAGATAGCATCGTGTTTCGGTCGTTCAGAGAAACCGGCGTAACGTTTCCGTTGCCGACGTAACGTTTCCGTTAGTAGCGGACTTCCCCCGTTAATAACGTAAACGTGTCCCGTCGGTTCCGTCAGTTCCGTCAGTTATTTTCGCGGTGTGTGGCAGATTTCGGCTCCCGCGACGCACGAGGGGCACGTGTTTCTCCAGCCCATTTAATGTGAGTCGACCGCGTACACCGCACGTAATTTCGCGCGCGGCACCTACTATCCACCAGCGTGCCGAGGCGTTTTGTGGCGCACGCAGATCTGCGTTTACACAACGTGCAACTTACCGAGGGGCTTCGGTGGACAAACACACGTTAGCGTTAACACACGTTTTGGAGATCATCGAAAATCGTCGATTCGTCGATTCCTGTCGCCGCAAATATGATTGTCCCAATTGACCTCCTTTTCCTTCTCCTCCTCTTCCTCCTCGTGCTTCTCCTGCTCCTTCTCCTCCTCCTCCTCCTCCCCGTTCCTCCTCGTTTCTCCTCTTCGTCTTTTCTCCTCCCCCTCGTCCTCCTCCTTGTCCTCCTGTTCCTCATCCTCCTTGTCCTCTTCCTCCTCATCCTCATCCTCCTCCTCATCCTCTTCCTCCTGTCAAGCACGGGTGGCCCAAAGCATCGTACCCAGGTGGGCTCGAGCTAGCCATGGAGCGCCCAGCCCGTTGCCTCCTTGTGGCGTTTAGGGGGCTCCCACCCCAGAGCCGTTCTTAAGACAGTGTTTCTGGGTCGGAATAACGGAGTTATTGCTTGGCACAAATCCGCCCGCGCTGTGAACGACCCCGCGGCTGGCCGCGGGGGCGCCCTCGCTCGGCTGGTCGGCCGCGCGCTGGTCGACCCTCTTCCGCCTCCCGCTCGCGTCGTGTGGTGCAGTGCCGTGCCGTGCTTCCTCCGCCTGGCACTGGGGCGGGATATAAATACCGTGCCGTGTGTCGGGTTTCGGCCCACCGCCCTCTGGGGGCTTCGCTCGGCCCATAGTGGCTTCCTTGCGGCCCATAGTGGCTTCGTTGCGGCCCATAGCGGCCTGCTGCGTTCACGTGCCCAATGGGGCCCTCTCTTCTGGTCCATAGTGACCACGTGCTGTCGTTGGCCCGCTCTCATTCGTCACCATGGCGCGCTGGCATGCAAGCGAGCGGGCTTCTGCTGGCGTGGTTCTCGCTCGTGCCCCGTGGCGCTGTGATTGCGATGGCGATGCTTGCCTTCTTGCAGTCTGACCCTGTTGTGGGCGCGAAGTGGACTGTTATCCAGTTCAAGGGCGCCATTGATTGCCTGGCAGCCAATGGGCTGACGATGCCAGAAGAATTGGCCAATCTTCAATTCGGCGATTTGAAGGATGCCGCTGGCGCGACGGCGCTGACGAAGGGCGTCCTGCGGCGCGCTCTGGATCGCGCGACGGTGGCGGCAGCCAAGGCGAGTGCGCCGGGTGCCGCGGGGCCCGCGCCGGCTTCGGCGGGTCGTTTCTGTTCGGTTGCTGCAGAATCCTGGGCTCCCGCCGAAGGGAGAGCATGTCGACATCGGCGCTGGCCTGGCCCAGATCAGCTTGAGGGACCTTCCGGAGTCCCTGTGGCCAAGGCTGCCGCGCGGCTTCGCCCCGGCGCGCTGGCGCGTTTCCATCGTTCGCTCAGGTCAGCGAAGACCGATGCGCTGGCCACCGAGGTGCAGCGCGCGAAATCCAGGGGAATCGCGCGCCCGTTCATTTATACTGAGCTCGCGAAGTTCCAGCCGCTTTGCGCGCGCGGCGCGGGCGGCTCTCCCGACGATGACGAGCCCGAGTCGAAAGAGGCGGCCGCGTTGGCCAGAGCGTTCGGACGGGGAACCGCGGCGGAGAGCCAGCCGCTTCTGGCGTGGACGCCATGGCACCAAGCTTACGACGCGTGGAGCGTGGCGGCCGCGGTCACTGATCAGATTTCGTACACGAGCGCCATGGCTCACAAACACGTTGTTCTCCAGGCGAGTCGACATTGGCGCCCGTCCGCTGGTCGCCGAAGTGGGCGCGCTTGCCCAGGTTGCACTGGATGCCCCCCTGCAGGGACGGAAGGCCCAGGTTGCCTTGGTCTACGACCGCCTTGTGCGGAGGACGTGGGCCGAGCGTGCCGCCGCCGGCGCGGCAGGCTTCCAGGCCGCAGCTCCGCGCCATGCTTCGGCGCGTTATTCTCGGGCGCGCGTCGGCGCGCAGGTGAACGTTGCGGCGCTGTCGCTTGACGTCGGGCTGCTCCGCGCGGCGGAAGCGGAATATGATCGGGCTCTTAAGGCCGCGTCGCCGAATCCCTTGTTCGCGTTGCGCCACCGCTGTCGCGCAGGTTGCCGCGCCGGCCGGCAAGGGTGCAGGGAAAAGCGCCGCGGCAGCGCGCGGGCAGAGTGCGAGCGCCGCGAGCGCCGCGGGCGCCGTGGGAGCCGCGGGGGGCGCCGCCGTCACTTCCTGGAAGAACGACCGCGATTCCAGAGCCGACGGGTGGCAGTCCCGATCCTATCGCGGGGATAACAACAAGCGCTCCTGGGATTCGCGAACGGTGTATTCTCCTCAGAAGAAGCCGCGCGCCTGACGCCCGCCGGAGGCACGCGCAGCCCGCGGCGCGCGGCGATGTGCGGGACGCGCGCCGATGAGGACGTGCATCGCGCGCCACGTTGGCACTTGAATAACAACGAATGGGCGCCAACCTCAGCCACCGTCCCGTGGGACCCGCAGGCGCGCGCGCGCGCGCTGGCAGGAGGGCGCCGCGTTGTTGCCGCGTCGTCCAGGGCTTGGGTGCCAGTCAACACTCGCGGTCCGATCGCGACGCGAGGGCCGCCCGCCCGCTGGGCCAGGAGGCGCGCGAACGCCCCCGGCAGGCTCGAGCGCTCGCGCTCGCAAAGCGCAGGATGCGAGGGGGCCCAGTATCGCTGCCACATGGGATTATCAGGCGCTGCGCGTTGTGGCGCGCGACGCTCGCGGGCTCGCGCGCCCGGCAGAATGCTGCCTCGAGTTGCAATGCACGCGGTTGCGCGCTGGCCACTGCCGGCTGCTGTCACCTGCCGTCGCCTGCGTCTGCTGAGGAAGCGCCTAAGCTCGCCTTTCTTGAAGAGGTCCTCTCCCGTTCTCACTCCTTCGAGGACAAAGAGGCCTTTGAAAAGGCCGTGTGGTGCCCGGCGATGTTTTGGCGGCGATCGATTGGATTGCTGCGCGCTCGGAGCGGCAGGTGTGCCGTGAGCGGCGAGCGACTCTCGAGCGAATTCGGGCCAGGGACGCCGAGCTACGCGCCTCTGGAGCGACGGCGGCCTGGTTCGCGGGCTGCGATGCCCATGTGCGCACAATCGCAGGGTTGATCAACGGCCCTCTTCTCGTCGAACTGCTCGACGAAATCGGTTACGAGGACGCGGCCTGCGTGGAAGTCTTTCGGCGCGGCGCGCCTCTCGTGGGCCCTCTCCCGTGCACGGGGAACGGGCGTCCGGAATCTTTCCCTGGACCGCTCAGCCTGCCGGACTTGGCCGCGGGCGCGGAGCGAGGCAACGCCGCGCTGCTCGGCACGCTCAAGGAGTCTAGCGACTCCGCCGTGATTCTCACCAAAACTATCGCCGAAGCGGAGCTCGGCCGAATGAGCCATCCCGCGCCGCTCAGCGCGGTCGAGCTCGACGGTGCGGTTTTGTCGCCGCGGTTCGGCGTCCGGCAGTCGAGAGAGGACGGGTCCGAGAAGCTGCGGCTCGTAGATGATATGTCGCGCTCTCGTATCAACGCGGCGTCGCAGCCGACGGAGCGTCTCGGCCATGAAGCCATCGACGCTCTGTTTGGCACTTGCAAGGCATTTGTGACGCGCGTGGCGAAGCGCCCGGGCTCTGGAAGGCGGACATAGACGCCGCGTTCCGGCGCGTTGCGCGTGCGAGAGTTATCACACACCACCACACCAAACACCCCCCCCTCCAAAACTCCCGAACCCCACCCGCGGTCTCTCAAGTCTCTCACACACACACACACGCCGCACCAATCCCCCTCCACACTAGGGGGGTCGCGGTGTTCTTGTCTATCTGCATCAATCCCTCCCCAACGCCACCACAACCCGCGCCACACAACCACCCAGCTGACACTCACCAACTAACACCGCACTCTCTAACCAACGAAACAAGCTCAGGCATCTTCGTCGCCCGCCCAATTCGGAGCGACTTCCTCCGTTCACAGCTGGGAGCGCATCGGCGCGATGCTGTCAGCGCTGGGCCGCAGGCTCATTTTCGTCCCCGTCCTCAGATATGTGGACGACTTCTTCTGCCCCGAACGTAAGAAAGGGCTGCGCGACGCAATGCGACAGTTCGCCGAACTGGTAAGTATCATTCTGGGCCCGAGCGCTGTGGCCGACGGTAAGCTGCTGTTCGGCAATCCGCTCGGGGTCCTGGGCTTGTCTGAGGCGATTGACGAGCGTGGCCTCGTGTGCTGGCCGCTGCCGGAGAAGCGCGCCCGGTGGCGCGCCGAGATCGCTGCTGCTCTTCAAGAGGGCGCGCTCGAGCGCGGGCGCGCGTCCAAGTTGGCAGGCCGCTTCTGTTTGGCTGCCTCCCACACCTTCGGGCGGTTCGGGCGCGCGCTGCTCCCGCCGTTGTTTGAGCACGCAAGGGCGCGCCATCCTAGTATCCCGGCGCACCTGCGAGTCTGCCTGCAATGGTGGCACGAAGCGCTCGCCAGAAAATTCACCACGACGCGGGAGTGGCAGGCGCCAGACACCAGGTCTGTCCAATTGCTCTCCGACGCGCGGGGGAATCCAGCTAGAGTGGCCGCGGTTCTTTACATTGACGGGCGCATTGTCTTCACCGATGTCGCCCCGCCTGAGCCTCTGCTTCGGCTCTTCAGGGAAAGGCGCGACAATCAAATCGGCGGTCTGGAGGTGCTCAGCATCGCGCTGGGCCTGGCCACCTTTGAGCCGCTCCTGTCGGGCCGATGCGTGAACATCTTTTCGGATAATTCAGGCAGCGAGTGGGCCGTCCGGTCCGGTGCGGCGAAGCAGATTGACCACAATTGCCTGGTCCACTCAATCTGGCGCATGGCGCTGGATGCGAATTGCAATCTGCACGTTCAGCGTGTGGCGTCGGTGGACAATATCGCCGACCTGCCGTCGCGCGAGTCATATTCCCTGCTGTATCGCTTGGGGGCGGAGTGGATTCCTCCGGTGCTGGACGATGCCTGGTTCGATCCGAGCGCGTGGCTTCCTCATCGCCGGCCATGACCGGCTCGGGCGCTGGGCGTGCGTGCAATGGATCTGGCCTTCACTCATCGGTCAGGGTGCGCCCGCCCGGTCGGGCAGGGGTTGGCGTCCTCCCTCGCGCACGTCGCGGTCGCGCTTCGCCTGTGGGCGCGCGAGGGCATCTCTGGGTTGTCGGCGCACCTGGAGAATGTCATCGGTGTTCGCGCGATGGCGCTGGCTGGATTGCTCGCTCAGCTTCGCGCGGTTTGCCCTGAGGCACGCCCTCTTCCTGTGTTCGCCGCAGCCGAGCTGCTTGCCGATAACGGCGCCGACGCCGTGAGCGATTTGGTTGGCGTCACCCTGGCAGACTTCAGGGGCGCCGCGGCATTATCTTGCGACGCCCGCGAGGTGGTCCGCGCGGCTATCGCGGCAGCCCAGCGCGGCGGCGCGCCAGACGCGCTGGGCAGGGGCAGCGCGGGCGCTTCTCCTGCGCCCGCCCCGTCGCCCGGGATTGCCCCCAGGTATGCTTGCGCGTTCCGCGTTCGTCGCGGGCCCCCCCCTTGTCGGCCGTCGCAGGACCGACATCGCGACGCGGTCGCCCTCGAGCGAATCCGTCTCGTCATCCTCCACGGTGCGCGCGCGAAATGCGGCTTGTCGCTCGCAGCGCTAAACGCGGGCGCCAGGACAGCGGCAGGGCGCATGCAGCTCCCCCGGAGGACCCCGTGTCCGCGGTCCGGTGGGCGCTCTCAGTCGCTGGGCGCGAGGGTCGGCGTGACATGCGCGGGCCGCGGGCCGAAGCTGCTCGGGCCAGAGCCCTCATCACCTCCCGGCGGCCGGTAAAGCGTGGGCGCGCAGGGCCCGGGTGAGCGCTCTCCTGGGCGCATGCCCGCGCTCATTGCCCGCGCTCAGCAGCGGGTTCGAGTGCTGGTTACATTCGCAAGGGGCGTCTTAAAGCGACGGGGGAAGGAACTGCCGCCCACCCTGGAGGGGCTGCTTCTGTGGTCCACGACCTTCAGGTGCGCCGGGACCTTCAGCAATTATGTGACTTACGTGAAGTAGGCGTGCCTCGTGGCATGCCGGCGCGCGCCCGCCTCTCATCTTCCGGCAACGCGCGCGTCCGCCCGCGGCGGCAGTTGGCGCGCAAGGCCCGTGGAAGTCTTCAGGCACCCGGCGGTTCGCGCCGCTAAGAACGCCATCGAGAAGCGGTCGGGCTGGCAGGCGAAGGCGCGCATGGCCCTTCAGGGCCGCGACGTCGCCCGTCTGGTGTCGCACCTGCGCGTCAGTGACGAGGGTCGCCGTTTCGCCATGTTGTGCCTGGCGGCCTACGAATTCCTCCTTCGGCTACCCTCGGAGGCCCTGCCCGCGGTGCGGGTTGAAGATGGCGCGGCCGCGGCTTGCGTGGCCTCCGCGTTCGTCGTCGGCGATCAAAAGATCGAGCTGCTCCTCTCCAGGAGAAAGAACCGCGAGAGCCGCTCGGTGATGGCACGGCAGTGCTGGTGCGACGAGTGCGCGGTCACCTGTCCCGTACACGTTCTTGGGGCCTGGCTAGTTGGCGAGCCAGCTCATCAGCCCATCTGGGCTGCGAGGTCCCCAGGCGCGGCACGTGCTCGGCTGCGCCGCGCGCTGGGCGAAATGGGGCGCCACGACGCGGAATCATTCGGCACTCACGCGTTCAGGCGCGGGCACGCGCAGGACATCGCTGCCAGGGGCGGACCGGTCACCGACCTTCTTCGCGCGGGCGGCTGGCATCAGCCCGCGTGGATGAAATACCTTACGTCTCCCGGCTCGAGCGGCAGTCGGTCGCGGAAGCCCATTTGGCAGAGTCGTCCAGCGACGATGGCGATGGCTGAGCACCCCGCGCAGTCTGGTGGTCGTGTCTGCACGGCACACACGTGGGCGCACCCCGGCACGCGGGGGCAGTGGGTGGCAGCGCCGGGCGTGGCCCGCGGGAGCGCCGTTGCAGTGGGTGGTGCTCCCCCACGGGCCCGACCGGCGTCTGCCCGCTTGGCCTCGGAGTGGCCGCGCGCTGCGGGGCAGATGGGTCGGGTCCGCACCCTCCGCTCCTGGGGGAGGCTTCCTCCTCCCCCCCCCCCAGGGCCGTGCGAGGCGAGTGCAAGCGCCAGGATTTGTGGGGTCGGAATAACGAAGTTATTGCTTGGCACAAATCCGCCCGCGCTGTGAACGACCCCGCGGCTTGCCGCGGGGGCGCCCTCGCTCGGCTGGTCGGCCGCGCGCTGGTCGACCCTCTTCCGCCTCCCGCTCGCGTCGTGTGGTGCAGTGCCGTGCCGTGCTTCCACCGCCTGGCACTGGGGCGGGATATAAATACCGTGCCGTGTGTCGGGTTTCGGCCCTCCGCCCTCTGGGGGCTTCGCTCGGCCCATAGTGGCTTCCTTGCGGCCCATAGTGGCTTCGTTGCGGCCCATAGCGGCCTGCTGCGTTCACGTGCCCAATGGGGCCCTCTCTTCTGGTCCATAGTGACCACGAGCTGTCGTTGGCCCGCCCTCCCCGCCCTGGGGGTGTGGGGGGGGGGGTGGTGCTCCCCCACGGGCCCGACCGGCGTCTGCCCGCTTGGCCTCGGAGAGGCCGCGCGCTGCGGGGCAGATGGGTCGGGTCCGCACCCTCCGCTCCTGGGGGAGGCTTCCTCCTCCCCCCCCCCAGGGCCGTGCGAGGCGAGTGCAAGCGCCAGGATTTGTGGCAGGGTGGGTGGCTCCTAGAAACCTATGCCCAGAGGCCTCAGGAGGGCTGGGAATGTCAGACGCGGTGGGGGCGCGGTGGGGGGTCCCGGCGAAGATTTTGCAGGGTGGGTGGCTCCTAGAAACCTATGGCCAGAGGCCTCAGGGGAGCTGGGAATGTCAGACGCGGTGGGGGCGCGGTAGGGGGTTCCGGCGAGGATTTTGCAGGGTGGGTAAAACCTATGCCCAGAAGCCTCAGGGGTGCTGGGAATGTCACACGCGGTGGGGGCGCGGTGGGGGGTCCCGGCGAGGATTTTGCAGGGTAGGTGGCGAAACCTATGCCCAGAGGCCTCAGGGGGGCTGGGAATGTCAGACGCGGTGGGGGCGCGGTGGGGGGTCCCGGCAAGGATTTTGCAGGGTGGGAGAAACCTATGCCCAGAGCCCTCAGGGGGGCTGGGAATGTCAGACGCGGTAGGGGCGCGGTGGGGGGTCCCGGCGAGGATTTTGCGAGGTAGGTGGCTCCTAGAAACCTATGCCCAGAAGCCTCAGGGAGGCTGGGAATATCAGACGCGGTGGGGGCGCGGTGGGAGGTCCGGGCGAGGATTTTGCAGGAGGATTTTGCAGGGTGGGTGGCTCCTAGAAACCTATGGCCAGAGGACTCAAGGGGGCTGGATATGTCAGACGCGGTGGGGGCGCGATGGGGGGTCCCGGAGAGGAGCTTCCAGCTCCTAGAAACCTAGGCCCAGAGGACTCAAGGGGGCTGGATATGTCAGACGCGGTGGGGGCGCGATGGGGGGTCCCGGAGAGGAGTTCGCAGGTGGTCCGAGGTTGAGGGAAGGGCGTTGGAATAGAGTGTGCGATGTAGCAAAAGACAACGTATCCAGTTGAGAAGGATATCGCACACGCCTCAGGGGTCGGCGGATATCCCGATGTATTTCGCATATCATGTTAGGCATAGCTAAAACTAGTCCAACCGTAGTCTAGCAAAACAAATGGTGCCGCGGAGTGGAGTTGTTGCAAATATATGACAGCAACAACAAATATATGTCATATAGTGTTTAGGAATACGCCAGCCATCCTAAAAGCTCCAAGAGCCCCCCCCAAGACTCCCCGAGGCCTCCTTTCTTGCGGCCCCCAATAGGTTCCAAGAGGCCCCCAGAAGTCTCTTTAGTGTACAAGAGTAAACGAACCCCCAAGAAAGTCCAGGAGGCCCCATCAAGGCCCCGAAAGAACCCAAACAACTCCGAATGACTCCAATATGGACCACCTGGAGATTCCAGGATCCCCCAAAACGTCCTGAGGTCTCTTAGGGGGGTTCTTGGGACCTCCTGGGGGCCTCTGAGGTGCATGCTGGGACCTTTTCCTGGCCGTCTTTGGGTGGGGCATGCTCGAAATTTTAGTCCGCGTTTCCCCTCTTGGGCCCCTGCTGGGCCCTCCCCGGGGCCCTCTTGGGCAGTCTTCAGGGCGTATTGGGCTGCGCTGGGGCCCTCTTGGGGCGTCTCGGGGCCCCTCTTTGGTCGTCCTGGGGCGCATTGGGGGCCTCTTGGGCCGCCTTGGAACGTTGGACTCCCGAGGCGGCGATAAAGCTAAACTAACTCAAAAACATAATGCCGCCCAGGCTGTTGCAATGGCAGTTCACCGCTAAGAGCTGTTGGCGCAGGATACCAAATTGAGTGCTAAACGAAAAGTCATTCAGCTTCGTGTGGAATGTAGGTTCGCATTCTACAATCTGCGTTCAAATATGGTCGTGGTGAAGACGTGATGGCTACGCTTTCTCTATATGACGTACATGCGACACACACACATAGTGCGCGTCCGCCCACGGGCACTTCGACTCGATAAACGCATTGCATGTCTCTCGCAGGTTCACCAAAGACAAGCATGAACACTCACGATTGCATTATTGATATGTTTACGCATTCGTGGACTATTCCAACATAGTTTCCACGAAACACACGGAAAGCATGTTTGATTTGTTTCGAGTACTCACAGTACCTAGCGGCGTGTTGCCATTGCAACCCTTGGGTCCATCTTGGCCGTCTTTGCAGCCTTCTGCCATTTTCACACCGGGGCGCAAGCCGACTAAAGGGGCCAATCCCGTCATAGCAGGTGAGGGCCCCCTATCCACATCCCCCCTGTCATCCCCTCCACCCTCACATCGCATCTCTCCCTCCCCCCCTCATTCCGAGACGACAGCGGCCGCGCCACGCAAGCCAGGCAGCGGCAAACCCCGCGTCGCAATAAAGTTCGAGGGCGAGGCGGGACTGGAGCTGTATGAGCTGTCTCTCAAGCGCGCCCCACGCCCGCACGGACGACGGCAGCGGCGGGGACAGAGATGGCGACGGCGAGGATGATTGCGGCGACGGCGGTGGCGACGGCGACGGCGGCGGCGACGACGGCGACCCGCACATTCGGAGGAGGAGGACGAAGACGACGACGATGACGACGAAGACCACGACGACGACGACGAAGACCACGACGACGACGACGACGACGACGACGGCGGCGGCGGCGGCGGCGGCGGCGGTGTCGACGACGACGACGACGACGACGACGACGACGACGGACGACAACGACGACGACGACGACGACGACGACGACGACGACGGACGACGACCAACGGCGCTTCCGGCGCCAAACAGCGCCGAGCTTTGGAGAATCATGTGTGTTCTGCTCATCTGTGCCAGCGTCTGTTCACCATTGGCACGGGGTCCCTGCCCCCCAACGTCCCACTAACATTGGTTTCACTTTACGAACTATGGCTCTTGTTTGTGCGAGCAGACGGCTTGCATCAAGAGCGTAGGGAAGGGCCTGCGCGGCCATAGGGCGTTCCAGGAGGGCCCAGAGCATCTCGGCAGGCCGTATGCTCGTAGGAACCCTGTGCGCAATGCCCTCATGCTCACTCGAGACGGGGTTCGTGCGGACACCGGATCCTCAGCTGGG